AGGCGGCTCTTGAGAATCCCCTGGACTGCAATGAGAACAAACCTATCAGTTCTAAAGGAAATCAACCCTGAATGCTCACTTGAAGGACAGATCCTGAAGCTGAGGCTCCAGTACTTTGGCCATCTCATGAGAAGAAAAGAGTCCTTGGAAAAAACCTTGATGTTAGGAAGGTGTGATGGCAAGAGGAGAAGGGGACGACCGAGGATGAGATGGCTGGACAGTGTCTGCGAAGCAACCAACATGAACCTGACACAACTCCGGGAGGCAGTAGAAGACAGGAGGGCCTGGCGTGCTCTGGTCCATGGGGTCACGAAGAGTCGGACACGACTAAACGACTAAACACACACAGGCCTGGCTGCTTTGATTAGCCAGGCCGGGCAAGGATCAAGGGAGGAGGTGGTGGCACGACAACGATCAAGCGCCCTGGCCATGGAATCAGGCGTAGCAGGCTGAAAGGAGTCAAAAGTTACCGGGCATTTTTCATGTTTTATTTTTCCCTAATCCATGCAGTGAAATTCTAAAACCATGCCAGGTTGATACAGTGCTATTTTGGTATGTCACTTACTCTTTTAACAGACAGAAAAGGAAATTTACCCCAGTCCCCTCACTGAGGTCTGAGATAAAAGGCAGGGAAGGGGCTCTGTTTATTTCATTTGACACAAATAGCTGAATTCCACCACCCATTTTTATTTGTTTTATTCATACTAGATACTATGAATATGAATATAGAAATATTAATTCTAAAAAGAGGGAAATGTTTAAAATACATGGTTGTTTCATATCTGTACTTTTCTTTTCAGAGATTACCATGGGTGATTATGAAAAGGGTAAGAAGATCTTTGTTCTAAAATGTTTACAGTGCCACACAGTTGAAAAAGGTGGAAAGCACAAGGTTGGTCCAAATCTTTGGGGCCTCTTTGGACGTAAAACAGGACAGTCTCCTGGATTTTTTTATTCAGACGCAAACAAGAATAAAGGTAAAAAGTTAAGAGGGGAGAGACAGAATGATGGGAGTAGTCTAATGGAAAACAAAAAAAATCCAAAAATTGTTTTTTTCCTAAAAATCAGTTGTTTAATGCAATATCCCTAAATAAATTTGATATAAAGTTATGGATGTAGACATGTCTCTAGGAGATGAATATACAATTCAAAGAGATCCTGGGAAATTATTCTTTAAAAGGTTCATTGAAATTGTATCTCCATCAAGGGATTAGTGTGCACCACTTTCTTGGCAAATTTATACATGTGATTTGGGTTTAGTGGCATGGGTATTATAAGATTTATGGTCCATTCACGCATTGCACTGTCACTTACAGAGCCAGTCTCAAAGGACCCTGACGTACCCCTGAGTGTGCCAGAGCCAAGTCCTGACTTTAGTAGCGTAACAGCATTTATTGCTCACTATGTAGCATCTACAGGAAAAGTGGCAGGATGACTGCTGGAATCTAGCTGTGTGCACCTTCCTCGGGGCAGTTTGAGCTGGCCAGGAACCATATTGGCAGTGAAAGGTTTATCTAATAAAATGCTACCTGAATGCAAGTTTTCATTGCATTAGGCTGTAGCCCTAGGCACACTTAACCTGGGATAAAAATATTATTGAATGTAGTAGGTCTTTTTACTGAGTAAACAAACAAGCATAAGATTATACTATTCATAGCATTATACCAAGAGCATTTTGCTTGCTTTTCATTTGAATGCTTTTACACTGCTAACATATAATGGATGGTATCCAGCATTGTCCTTCTAGCATTGAAACAGCCACTGCTTCTTGACTGAATTCCTCCGCACTTCCCATGCACCACTGAATCTGCACCAAAAGGTTGTTATCAGGGCATGTATATGAACTTTGTGTTTTGGCTATACATACCTGGAAGGGATCCCTGAAATTTAGCAATTGCTTATCTAAGCAGATCAATTCAAATAACACACATTTCTTAGGGCTATTTATAAGAGGTTTATTGAACACACAACAACCAAAACACATGCAGTGATTACTGTATATGAAAAAACAGTGAATATTATACAATGGTTATATTAGGAAACAGCAAATGTTTTGGTAGAGTTTAATAAATGGCAGATAATGAGTGAATGACCAGTAGTAAAACACAGTTCCCTC